TTATTGTAAAGTAGTTCTGAACTGCCAAATCTACAAAATGACATTCAACAAGAATAACAAATATTTTAAGGGTAAAATGTTTTTGGTCTCTCAAAATATCTTGAAATTAGTTCCTATAAATATTTATGATTTTGTCTCTACAAAAACACGTTTTTAGCCCCTCACGAGGGACTATAATCACATCACTTATGATAAATGTATGAGCTAAAAATGCAACTAAAACTGAATTTCAAGATATTTTAGGAGATAAAAAATATAAATCTCCCAAATATTAATTTTTCTGCTGGAATGTGTTCTCAGCATACAAGAGACACGCTATTTCAGTTTTTTACTGCCCAAATAATCAACTAACTGTTTAAAGAGAGAAATTTTTAAGTCAAATGTATTATATAAGCTCAGAATTATATTTGAAAGAGTTATCCAAACACAATCTTAGTGTTATACGAAAAAAGTCAGTTCATAAGTTATTTTCTTTCGAGATTAGTAAGCTGAACAATGTTTAAAGTTGCTTTGATTTGAATTGGATTGCTAATTTCTTGAGCTTTAGTAGGCCACCAGCTTATCTACTATTCGATTTATTATCTGCTTAGCGGGATTTTTTTTCTTCCTAAAGTTGGTCTCTTTATATTTTACTTACTACTGAGCATGGGGTCTGCGTTATCACTCCTTTTTTCCCCCAACTTTGCAGGTTCGCTATGAGGAAATCATGTCCGATTCAGGTTATTTAGATGAAGTATTGGCACAAGGTGCTAGAAATGCAGCAGAAATAGCAGATGCCACACTTGATAATGTTTATCAAGCAATGGGATTTTTGAGGAGAAAGTGATAATTGATACCAAATGAGTTAATATTGCGATACAGCAACTTAAAAGCTAACTTATGGACGATCGTGACCGGCTTCAGGATTTTTTGGCGTAATCTTGTGAACGTATACTTTGACTACTGGAAGTTGAAATATTATTTTTTAAATAATATTTTATACAAAGCCTAAAGGTCTCATAAGTTCTTGATGAAATTTGTTATTGCCTTCATTTTATTTTATTTTTTCTATCTCTATCTCTTCCATTATTTACTTGTATTTTACAGTGAATTCAAATTGTCATTGTATTGTATTTGATGGAATCATGACCCAGTCATCTTAACTCTATTCTCATCAAGTTCTCATGATGATTGATGGCATCACAACCCCTTTTAGCTCCCTAATTGGATCTTTATTTTACTAACCATCTGGAATAACTTCATGTGTGCTGCTTACTCCGCCCTCCCCCGGCAAATGCATTGGACAACCTATTGTTTTTCAATCTATTTCTAGGCAAATGATACTTAGGAAATAAATCTCCTTGAAGGAAATGATTACATGAGAAATCTGTCAGGGCCGCCATTATTTTGTTGATCAGTACAATAAGCATGCGTGCCCTTATGAAACTGGTGAAATGTGGAAGCAACATTTGGCAGAGGGTTTAGTGAGGCCACACCGACATTCTTATCAACATCGAATACTAACTGCAAGGGAGAATAATAAATCCTCCAATCAGTTATATTTTTCATCTAGAACATTTTTAAATATTTTTTTGATGTACAGTGAGGAGTCTTTTTTTTTTTTTTTTGTGGATTAAGGCATCAAGGAGTCTTGTGATGCACCACAGAATTAGTTCGAGGCATAGTTGTGATTGTGATGGAGCATCTGCAGAAACCATTGGAGAGAAGTGAAAATTAATGACTATGGCACTGCAAAATGTGTGCTAGTTTTTGTTCTCTTCCTTATGGGCACCAACAGAATAAATGATGTGTCTCTTATCAGAAACAGTACGCTGACTTCGTCGAGGTGGGATGAACTGTATAAGGACATGACAGGGTCCACCATTTGATTATTTAAAGTGAGATTCTCGAATGAAAAAAAAAATAAAAAAAATAGTGTCATGTTTATGCTATTTCAGTTCTTATGTGGGGACGGTTATATGCGCCTATAAAGATCAACAGTTGTGTGATTCATGTATACCGTAAACTTCTATGCAATTCACGCACACTGAATACATTTTTATGTATTAGACTCCCAATTTATGCCTTATTTTCAAAATTGAAAATTAGGCTAGTTTGCAACAATATATATATATATATATATATATATATATATATATATATATATATATATATATATATATATATATATATATATATTAGATGAAAAATAATGTGTAAGACAACTGATTTATGGGAACTCATTAAAAATAATTTATCATTTCAATAAGATTTTAAACTCTGTTTAATTTACTTTCTGGTCGTTACAAAAAACTAAAATAATGATTATTTGTTTTAAAAAAAATTATAATTGATCACCATGATTCCCTGTGTCTCATCTTTTGCATTTGTAATGATATTTTTTGCTTTTTAATTATTCATCTAGCCTCTCACTAGACATATTCTCTGAATAGAATTGGGCAAGGTGCTATGCTTTGGGAGAAAGTAGCTACTAAAGTTCTGGTGTGTGGATTGGAGTCGTCTTTAGAGTTTAGAAATACAATGCTTTTGCAGAAGACGACAACGCAGGAATGTTCTTGTTCTTTTTAAGGTCAGTGATATTTTATTTTAGAATACATTAGCTTTTGTAATTTTTTACTTTCTTTTTTATAAATATACAAAAAAATTATTTTGTTTTATTGACTATTTACTCTTATATGAGAGTTGTCAAATGATTGAGAACTTTTTTCCTGATGCAGAGTATGTTTATAAAAAACATCAATAATTGAGAAACAAACACAAAAAAAAATGTGATTTTGATTTTTATTATTTTTTAAAATATCATTGAAGTTATAAGTTCCATTTAGATAAGTCATTGATATTTTAAGAAAATTAACGTTCTAGCAATTAGAATATTTTGGGTCTGATAGAGTTTTGTCTAAAAAAATACCTGTTAACAATTATTTCATGTAAATAGTTTTTTCCCTTTGAAAGGAGGATTTTTTTATATGATTGATTATTTGAAAAGAAAAAAGTGAATTCATAAATTAATAAGATTGGTTAGTATTCTTTGCATTTCGAATTTAACTTTAAATGAAAAGTCATCCTAATCCAATAATTTAGTTTAACTCGATGTAATATTTTAATTTTATCATAAAAGCTAACTGAAACGGATATATAATTAATTTGATTTGGCTTAACGCTATTGAAACATATATAATTAACTTTGAATTTTAATATTTAAGTTAATTTTATATTTGTTAAGAGCAAATTATATCCCCTTTTAAACAAATATATTATAATATCTAGAGCTTCAAAACGGGTAATCCGGCACGATCCGGTTCCGTCCACCACAGGTTGGTCACTTAGTGAGCTAACCTAACCCGACTCACTTATTAGCAAACTGAACAAAATTCGAAATCAGTTCGAAAACGGATTGGCTCACTGACTCAATTATATGTTTTTTAAATAAAAAAATTATAAATTTTTTAATTCAAATCTATATAAATTTCACTCTAAAATGATGTTAAACTCCAAAGACAATTTAAAATTAAAAAATATATCATACAATTCAAGCGTAATCCAAAAACAAGCACAAAAGGCGAACAAATAAGTTTTTAATATTGATAATTTTTGTATCATTTGTCCATTTACAATATTAGAGTCTTGAATAGATAAATCTATAATATTTTTCACTTTTGAAACATTTTTTTTATCCCTATCTATAAAAAAATGTTAACTAATAATATTGAAATATAAAATAATAAATAATTAAATTAAATTAGGGTGGTGAGCCAATCCGGATGAGCTAGACTCTAAAGTGAGCCAGGTTGAAAACTAACCCACATAAAAAAATTACAATTTTTTCAAACCCAACCTTATGAGCCGGTTCACTCGCGAGTTAGAACCATTTTTTTTACAACACTCTATATCTTTCATTTTTATATCTAAGAAAACTTTGATTTTTACTTATTTTAGATTCATCATGTTGTTTGAAGTAAAGATGAAAATGCAGGGTTTAATATTTGAGATAATAGTAACGAGAATGTGGTTGTCATTTACTTATAGATATTCTAAAAAAGCCAGATAAAAAATAGTGGGCCTTCTTCATCCTTCCTTTTTTATATTCTTTCTTTTCTTTCTTTTAATAATCAAAATTAATATCTCATTTTACATCTGTACTAAGATTCCCCTTTTTTTGCTCTTACATCACTCTCATATTGTGTTGTATTTTACTGATTTTTACGATCATATAAAACTGTTTTGTAGCATTTATTTTCATGCTAACATAGTATGAATATCTCTTTTAGGTTTCTTCTTTTACAGATATACTCATGTGATAATGACGATTCTTGAGAATACCAACCTATATGAAAGATTCATAGTCATCTCTAATATGATTCATTAAAAAAATATTTAAATAATCACATACTTTTTAAGATCCATCAATTAAAAAAAGTACTAATATTTTCTAACAATTTAAAAAAGAATATTTATAAAATATTTGAATTTAATTTTTTTATTACAATATGTTGACTAAGTATTATAATAATAAAAAATATATAATTTTACTCTTGGAGAAAAAGAATAAAGACATTTTACACTCTCATCCAATAAAATATCCAATTAATTTTCATGTTTACTTAAAACTTTAATGGCATGAATATAGTAAATTTAAATTATAGGCTTTGTTTTAGGGTGGGAGTGGAAATCCATGTAAAGTTTTAGAAAAAGTGATGATATACATTGAGTAATATTTCCTTTAATTACATCTTGTCATCTTCTACTTTAGAGTGGTCAATTTATTAGAGGAAACATATGAATTTGTAGTTGCTTTCAAGAAAGGAAGGATTATTAGTAAATAATATTCTCTGATTTTTTTTCCTCCCAATCATCACATTGCTATAAATATTAGATGCCACATTGTTGTAGTTAGCCACTTGAACAAGTGAAAATCTATATCCTTTCTTGACTCTCGTTCTTTTTCTTGGTTTGATTTGATTTTGTGTTGAAAATTTTAATCGGTCTCAAGAAAGGGAGACATGGACAAGACTAAGTTCAGACAACAAGCGCTCTTCATACGAACTTCACTCTTTGATCAGGTCTTTAACTTTCTTCTCTATATTTATTTATTATTCTTTCTTTTATCTCTACTTAAAGGTGAATGGTTTGGTCCCACATGGTCCACCAAAAATAGATTAGGTTGAATTAATTTGTCAATTAAAATTACGTTAAACTTTACAATACGGTTGGACTAGCAGCCTGGTCGGCTTTTTTTTATCATTAAAAGTTTAATATCACATGAAAATAGATTAAATTTTTTTACTTTTATATGAAAAATGGATTGATGACGAATTGTCGAATTGATTCTAAGTTAAAAAGGCCGAAACAAGTTGTCGTCCGAGCTATATCAGACTTCGATTGGATTTCTGTGTTAATATGAAGTGTTGTGATACATATTTTAATCTTTTTTAATGAAATCGAACCGAAGGATTAACCCAATTGGCATGTGAGACTAACCTGTCAAACTGTCAAATTTGGCAGACTGAATTGGTTTGAACTCTCGAATTAAAAATGTTATTCCAACTTGCTTTCTTTTGACCGGATGAGAGGGTTAGTCGGCTAGACTTGGTCATTTTTTATCATTTTTTTCTTTAAACTTAGATATATGCAAAGTCAACAACTATATCTTTTAAACAAATTATTTTTTATAGATAGAGGCGATTTATAAATGTATTATTTTAAGAATTTATACTAAAAATAATGTTAATCACTTTTGGGTTAAACTAATCTCTTTTGTGAGTTTTACACATTAATTAACGAATTTTATTAACAATTTACAGTATATTCAATAAAAATAGGTGTTAGAATTTTGACAAAAAAATATTCATATCTGACACATTTGTTTTTATTGATATTGGCAAAAACTAGATTGAGGAAAAACATATTATATTTGTATTCTTTTTATGTTCTTTAGGTTGAGTCCATATATCTGTTAAAATTTTCTCAGCATTAATTGATGTTATTGCAGGGATTCCTTGACGAGCAATTCATTCAGTTAGAAGAACTGCAAGACGATGTTAATCCCAATTTTGTTGAAGAAATTGTGACCCTTTTCTACAGTGACTCTGTAAGACTGATCTACAACATAGAAAGAGGACTGTGAGTGAAAATCACTGAAATTTTTACATTACTTTTCTCTTCTTCTCCTTGCTGCGTAATGACTGCTACTGTACGCAGGATGAGTAACCCTCCAAATTTCACCAAGCTAGATGATTTCATGCATCAATTCAAGGGTAGTTGCTCAAGGTGATGAAGTTCATGCTTCTCATTCTTATAATTTAACAACATAATTTCAGTTTTTCCTTCATTAATAATGCAGATATTTTTTCAAATCAAGGTTATAACTATATATTAAGTGTTACATGTCTGAGTTTGGAGATTTTCTTAATTCATGTCTTGGATTGGAACATCATTGTTTCTCTCCTATGTTTTAAACTAGTAAAAACAACCTTGAAGTTTTCATTGGCAGCATTGGAGCAAAGAAGGTGAAGACTGAATGTAGCAGATTCAGTGAATACTGCGCAGCAGAAAACTTTGAGGGGTAACTCATATTTACCTCCTTGCTTCCGCTACGACTATTTCCGATCACTTTTTCACAATATATAATTTTTATAAAGTATTTAAATACTTTCATCTATTTATCTAATTTTGTAATAAAAATGAACGTGCATGTAACTGGCAAATTTCTTCTAATCTCTCATATGTTTTGATTTTATCTTATAGCTGCTTTTATGGATAAAATTAAGGATGGACATGTATTAGATTTTTTTTAAAATCTTCAAATTTATTTTAATAGGATTATTTTTTCTATCCAATTTAAATCGAATTAAATTTATATTGAATCTATTTTAACAATCATATTATATTAAATCTAATAAAATAAATAAAATATCTTTGATTATTAGGTCTATTAGACATAATTGTACTAACTCACCTCCACTAGGTTTATACAGATTTGTGTTGATTTAATTCAACTTGGATTTGGACATTTCACTTTAGTATTAGTCAAAGTTAAAAATTTGAGTTAAGACAATTTAAATCTAAGGTCAAGTCATGTCAGTTTAGACGATGAATGAGCCGAGTTGACTTGGATTAAAGGTCTAACCAAGTTGGCACCAGTCAAAAGTCTAGTTAAGTTGACCTTAGTCAAATTTCTAATCAAATTGATCCCAACCGAAAGTCAAACTGACTCAACTTTGACCGAATATCGAATGAAGTTGCCTTTGACCTAAGTCAAGTTAAGTTATTTGACTGCAAGTTAATTATGACTTGTTTTTCGACCCAAATCAATTCAACTCAACTCAACCTTTAACTTAAATTAACTTATCTTAATCTTCTACTTCTACTTAAATTCTTAAGTTGATTCTACTCAATCCTAAATTCAAATTCACTTAACTCAATTTAATTTTTAATCATATTAAACACACCTTAAATTTAGATTTTTAAAATCCAAAATATATCAAATCTATATCAATTCAAATTTAATTAGGTAGATTGAACTTAAAATTAAATTTATATTTGAAATAAATT